CAGCGCAGGTAGCCGGACCGGGCCGAGCTGGGGCTTCAGGGTGGGGCCGCGAGGCCAGGCCCGGGAGGCGGGCGGGCGGGCGGGGCCCCTGACTCTACTGCGTCTCCTGCTTCGAGTCCTGTTGGAGAGGTCAGCGTCCAGTGTATCTCGGCTGGGGCTCGGAGTTACATAGGCCGTTTTGCGGGAGCCAGACCCTTCCTCGGAGCCGTCCTCTATCTGAGATAGGTTTGGGGGAGGGTGAAAAGTGGGGTGGCAGGGCGGGGATCGGCTTTGAGGTTAGCTGATAGCGGGTATGTGGGTAGAAACACATTGGGTGAGTTGGGAATTAGGTGGAGTTGTTTTAGCAGTTAAGGTTAACTTTAGGAGTTATAAAGCTGGGGTTAAACTTTAGAGTTATTAGTGTGAGTCAGGTTCGTTTTGTGTAGGTAAAGTTTGGATTGAGGTCATTACTTTCTTTTCTAGGATGGCCAACATAAGTCAGAGTTAAGAGTTCAGGGTCAGGTTAAGGATCAGCAACAGGAATTAGGTTAGAAGTCCAGTTTTAGGGATTAGAGAATGTTGGCATAGCTAGTATTAGGGATAAACAGTGAAGAGGTGAATCAGGAATCAAGTGACAAATGAGCATTATTTAGGTTTAGGGGGTCAAGATTTAGGGTTAAGGTCCAGATTTGGTGCTAAAGGTAAAATTAGATCAAAATTAAGGATCAGGGATTTGATACAAGTGCCTGCTAGGAAAGGGATAAATGTCAAAGCCAGTACTGGGAATCAGGAGACAAATTAGGATCGGGGTTAATATTAGGAATTAGGGACAGTTTTAGTGGTTGTAGTTGAGGTCAGGGTAGTTGATCTTGGGCAGGTAAAGTTTAACACATTAGCAATAGGTAGATGCCCTTGTTTTGCGAGGAATGTTCTTATTCCTGCGTAGTCACGGGGGCTTTTGTGGCCCAGAGAAATGACAAACTAATTTCAGGCTAGGGTTCTGAGCTTCAGCTAGAATTGCGGGCATCTGGGATTCCAGCTTCTTCCTTCTACTCTCTAAGGCCAAGGCTCTTGCTGTGGCCACCACAGTTGAGGGGCGGGGGCTCTTGGACCACGTTGTTTACCAGATAGGAGGTGGGAAAGGGTTAGGGACTGGGGAGGTACACATGGCCTAGTCATAAGTGGAGGACTGCCGAGGGGAGAAGGGACTGGTGATTAAGGGGAAGCTGACCAAGGAAACACTGTTGCCATACGAAAGTGGGATGGCTTAATCCTCTGAAAATTCAGCCCTGCTGCCTCCTATTTCCCTCATTCCCTAGAAGTTAAGCCCTCTTCTCCAACTCTTCTCCCTGGCCCTGCATTGCACACCCTCCCTTCCTCACCCCTTACATACTACTTTCCTTGCATTTGGCTCTCCCATGCTATTCACCTTAAACCACTCGTTCTCAGCCTCAATTCTGCCTCCCTTCCCACCCCTTAATCCACACATGCTGTCTTAATTTAACCTTGCACAAATCTGAGCTTTCCCATCATTTTAAAGCACTCACCATTTTCACCTGCTCATTCACCTGCATACATTCTGGTCATCTGCTGAATACCCCACCCCTAGCCCACCACAACTGCCAAGTCCCTGAGGTCCCTGCTATGTGCCATTCCCTGATTCTAAGCCTCCTTAATTTCTTGATCCAGTTATAGATCCCCTTCCCCCACCCCCAAACAGAAAAGAGGAAATGAGAACCAAAGAGGAAACTTGGTCTTGCTGATCCCACGCCCAGCCAGGCCACTGACCACGCCCCCATTTCACTCCCAGCCTGACCCTGGCACTGACCGCAACACTATCCCCTCCCCAGCTTGATCCAGCCTCTGGCTGCATCCCATCCCCCTCAACTCCATCTTTACTTAGACACTGCTAATATCCCTTCAGTCTCCTCCCCGCCATCCCAGTCTAATTTAGCCACTGACCACAGCCCCATCTCTTCACAACCTCCTGCAGCCTAACCTGGCCTCTGACCTCACTCTGTCATTCCCTGTCTTAGCCACTGTGCACATAATTATTCTTCCTCTTTCTCCAGCCCGATCCAGTGACTAATTATATCTGTATTTTTCCTACTGTTATCTTCCCCAGCCTTTCTCTACACTGTCTTCCCCATTTCCAGCCTGATACAGTCATTAACCCTATCCCTTGTGCACCTACTTGGTTACTGACCACACCCCCTAACCACAGCCTCATCTTCACATTCTCAGCAACACCTGATCCTTTCTTTCCCCCTCTTCCCAGTTTCTTACCTAAACTCAAGCTGCCCCAGCCACTCTGAATGGCTGCTAATGACTGGAAGCTATGGGACCCCACCCTGACTTTGGGCCCTGGTTCCTGAGGGATGACAGGACAGACTATCATCAGGTCTTGTCAGTTCTACCTCTTAAAATTTCTAATGAGAGACACTCTTCTTTTCACTGTTCTAACTCTGGCTTCATTACCTCTCACTTGTGCTAATGCAATCTCCAAGGTAGCTGCCAGAGTTATTTTCCTACAGGCTAGTTCTGGTTATGTCCTTTCCCTGCTCAAAGCCTCCCTTGGCCTCCTGTTGCCCTCCGGATGGTGCAATTCTGCATACTCCTCGAGTCCTCTCCTACCGTCCCATCCTTACCTTGACTTCCTCATCACTGCTCACTTGCAGGTACTCTGTGCTTCAACCAGCCTGCCTACTCACTTCCCTGAATGCTCTTCCGTGATTTCCTGCTTCTCCACCTTTGCTTATGCGCTTCTGTCTGCCTGGAATGCTGCCCTTGACTCATCTCCGGCTGACTGGCGGCTGGCTGGCTGGCACAGTGGAGAGAGCTTGGGCTTTGGAGTCAGAGAAACCTGGGTTCGGATCCTGGCTTCACAACTTATTAGCTATGTGACTTTGAACAAGTACTTGAACAAGTGTTTAACTTCGTTGAGCCTCAGTTTCCTTATCTGGAAAAATGGAAATAACGACACCTAAGTTGCAGGGTTATAAGGATTAAATGAAAAATGTACACTAAGCAGTTGACATAAAGTCAATAAAAGACAGATTATTGTTCTTTTTTATTATCTTTATTTTTAAAAATCCTAACTTCAAATGACAGTTTGCATGGAGACATTTTAGTCCCCTTTCCCTAAACTAAAGGGATCTCTCCCATGAGCACGTACCGCTTGCCTCTTAACCACCACATCCTGCCTCTGTCATAACTCTATAGTGGTTTATCCACTCTGTTGACTGGGAGCCCCTGGAGGGCAGGGAGCCCCTTGAGGGCGGAGGCTAGGGCTCTTCTTGATTCCCAGCCACTGAGAGTTTGGCCAAGGGCCTTCCCCACAATAAGCCCTCAAAAGTACTCGCTGGATAGTAATGGGAGGAGAGATGTTAGGGCCAAATGTTTTGTGTGTTTGCCAATAGAGGTGTATTTATGGGGAAGCTGTGTACATGGGATAGTCTTTTCGGGAAGATAACGTGGTTGTGATGGATCTGTGTAGGGGCTGTGTATTTGAGATCATGTGTATGTAGAGACAGTGCAAGTACTTTTGGAGCAAAGAGCTCTGTGCATAAGCTGGGGTACATTTAGGGAGAATGCATGTGTAAGGATGTAGGTGGGGAAGGACTGTGTTGGGGGAAGTCAGGTCCAGCCCTTCAGCTGCCCAGTCCAGCCCTAAATGAGCCTCCAGCAGCCTGAGGCCGGATATGTCAGTCTCACCCACAACCCTCCCCCACTCCCCGCGGTTACAGACTCAGAGGCCAAATTTGGTAACAGAGTGAGCGTTACTCCCCTAACCCTCTTACTATCTGTCTCTATCTTCAGCTTTCTCTCTCCTTTGTTCCTCTCTGTAACTCCCTATCTTTCTGCAGCTCCCTTTGTAGGTATCTGCTCGGACTATATTCTCTATGAACCCCTAATTCCTTACCCCCAGTACACTTGCATTCCATTCCTTGCTGGGATTTGACCTCCTGTCCTCCATTCCCCCCCTCCAATTGCCCAACTCTTCTGGAATGCATCTCAGGAATGTCTTGAGGGAGGAGGAGTTCTTTGGGAGGGGGACATGGAGGGGGGGACATTGTTGCTGTTCCATAAAACATGATGGAAAGGGGAGCAAAATTCTCAGGCCAGAACAGGAATTGCCTAACTTCTCACCATACTTCAGGGGCCTGATTCTGTTCTATAGTCACCCCCAATTCACTCCTCAGTCCCCTCTCCTCCCCCACTCTCTTGTAGCCATGTGGATGTCCACTCAGGACCAAGCTGAAAGTGAGGGTTGCCATGACTCAACTCCCTTATCGGGGTCTCACCAGAGGTTTCCGTGCTTGAGGAAGAAGGGGGTGTCCATATGTCCACAGGAAATGGGGGGAGACATGCAGTTTCAGCTTAGGGTGCCAGATCTTTTCATTGTGCCCTCAGCTTCGCAGACCCTCCAGCCTACCAGCGACCCGACAGCCAGGTCTGTCCAGCTATTGGGAGAAATGCCCCAGGAATGGAGAGGGGGACAGAGACTTGTCACTGGGGGTGCTGGGAGTAAAGATAGAGGGCAAGTGGTTTCTTAATTCTTGAGACTGTAGGTTATTTATAAGGTTGGAAATGGTGTATCAGACCCCTGATCCAGACCTTTCCCTCATCTACCTCCTGTCTCTTTCTACCTAGATTTTCAATCACTTCTAATCTCTTCATCCTCCCAAAACACACTCCTTCGAAACTTCCCTGGTTTTCAACTGCCTTCTGTTTCCTAACATCCCCACCTCTGCTTTCCAACCTTACCCCTAGTCCTGCTTTTCCCCCCTCAGGGCTAGCAGTTTGCCTAGAGGGGACTGGGCAGTCTGGATTTGCTCATGCTCTCAAGTCAGGGGCACCAATCCCTGTATGGAGCCGGGTCACATCATCAGCTGCCGGGCAGACCTGTCTTGTGCACTGGGCGCCACCTGCTGCCTCCACTGAGAGGTGCTGGAGGGTTGGGGAGGGTGGAGGGAGGGCTGTGTGGTACTAGTATCCCTGGCTGCTCTGAAAATACTATCAGCGGAGGCAGCTGAGATAGAGGGCAAGGTTTGCGAAGGACTTACTGAAGAGGAGAGAGCATAGGAGTTAACGGTGAGGACTTAGTACTAACTTGGTGACTCAGAAGGAACAAAGACTGAGTTAGAAGGACTGGGGTCTTCTCTGACCTGCCTTGAAACACACACACACCACACCCGGTCTGATTCCCCTTCTGTAAAATTGAAAAGTTAACTAGACTATTTCTGAGATCCTTGTGCATTAGAAAATCATAATTCTTGCTTGACTGCTGGGGAAGCCAAATAAGGGCCAAGCTCCTCTGGGAAGCCCCCAGCATGTCAGGTTAGAGGAAAGTGGAGACAAGTGGGCCTGGATGGCTTGAACAGTCAGTATTTGGCCTCCCTGCCAGACTAGCTAGAGTCAGTGTTCAGTGTTTGCAGGCCTCAAGAGCCCTTGGGGATTATCTAATATAACGTCTTCATTCTGCAGAAAAAGAGGCTTGTGCCTTGTGTAAGAGGGAAGGTCATATGAGTCAGGGCAGAGCTCTAGAAATCCCAGACAGAGAGAAGCCAGCAGGACTTAGTAAGAGACAAAAAGAGAAAAAGACTGAACGAGGAAAGATGAAAACAGGGCAGAGGCAGGGCTGAGAAAGGAGATGAGCAGGGACCCAAGGGGTAAGAAAGAAACACTTGGAAGAAAGAAGGGAGGCACATGTTCCAGTGCTGGGAGCAGGGCGGTGTCCTCAGGTAACACTGCGTTTCAGACCTGCTTTTGTACCTTGCAGACCAGCCTCTCCTTCAGATGTCTTAGATAGTTAGGACTGGTCCTCTTGATGCAACTAGTCTTTCACTCTTTAAAATTATTAAATAAAACAAAAACAACCTCATTCTTACCTGCTTTGGTGGATCCCTTTCCTGGGGCTCCATGTGGAGGGGCCCCGTCTCCTCCAGTGAGGGTGTATTCTAATGCCCCGATGCCACGGACCAGGTGTAGCCAGGCTGGAGAGGAGAAGCTGCCACCATGGTTGCACTTTCGCTGAAGATCAGCATTGGGAATGTGGTGAAGACGATGCAGTTCGAGCCGTCCACCATGGTGTACGACGCCTGTCGCATCATCCGTGAGCGGATCCCAGAGGCCCTGGCTGGCCCCCGTGAGTCAGACTACCCAGGTGGCTGGGGCGGGAGTTCCTTGGTCCTTTCTCATCCCCAGGCTTTTGGCCTTGGGAAATCACCCTGTTGTCCCCCAAGGCTGCTCATCCCTCAGGTCTGTGCTTCTTGGTTCCCTCTCTCCCCTTTAGGCCCAGGGCCACTGGGGAAATAATAAGGGGTAATGGTGCAGCCACTCAGCCATATTAGGGCCCCTATAAGTCTGAGATGATCCATCCTCTCTTTCAGCCAGCGACTTTGGGCTATTTCTGTCAGATGATGACCCCAAAAAGGGTATATGGCTGGAGGCCGGGAAAGCTTTGGATTACTACATGCTCCGAAATGGGGTGAGTATCACTTCATCAAGGACCACCAACATCTTCTCCCGTCACTTCCCCCCTTCCTCCTCCTGTTTTCAGCACCCATATCTGTTGTCTCTGACCTCTCCCATGCTTTCTTTCCACTCCAGGCAGTTGTAGCTTTCAAGTGAGCCACCATAGTCTTCCTTTTAGTAATCTACTTTTCTCCCTTGTGGCTGCTTAAAAGGGAAGTAATAGCTTTAGTTTAAAGTGGGCCCCTACCTTCTATTCTTGCCTCAACAGGACACCATGGAGTACAGGAAGAAACAGAGGCCCTTGAAGATCCGTATGCTGGACGGCACTGTGAAGACTGTCATGGTAGACGACTCTAAGACTGTCACCGACATGCTCATGACCATCTGTGCCCGCATTGGTGAGGGGCTGGCAGGGCTGAGGGCTTGGCAGGGAGGTCCAAGCTCTGCCAGAGGAAGTGAGTGCGGTGTCTGGGATGCTGCCAACCCATCCACCCCTCTCCCCCAGGCATCACCAACCATGATGAATACTCTCTGGTTCGAGAGCTCATGGAGGAGAAAAAGGAGGAGGTGACAGGGACCTTACGAAAGGACAAGACACTGCTGCGAGATGAAAAGAAGATGGAGAAACTGAAGCAGAAATTGCACACAGATGATGAGTGTAAGCAGAAATGAACAGGAGAGGGCATTAGAAAAAATTAGGGTGACAGGGGCAGCAGTTTGTGCATTATTTGTAGAGCGCTTGCTTTTACCAGGCACTCGTAAACACTGGGGTGCATCAGTAATAAAACCCTACACTCACGGAACTTACATATTAGTGAGAGAAGGTGGGAAATAAACAAAAAGCCAGGGGCTAGATGGCGCAGGGGCCGGGGTGAGGGGGGGTTGACACTGAGGGGACTCTGTGTCCCAGTGAACTGGCTGGACCATGGCCGGACACTGAGGGAACAGGGAGTGGAGGAGCACGAGACGCTTCTGCTCCGGAGGAAGTTCTTCTACTCAGACCAGAATGTGGACTCCCGGGACCCTGTCCAGCTTAACCTTCTTTATGTGCAGGTGTGCAAAGGACTTGCCTGGGGTGAGGGGGGTGAGGAGGGGCAGAAGCACACTGAGGGGTATCCCTGCACCCCCCACAACACTGGCCTTCTTTCGCTGTGCTCCCAAGGCACGAGACGACATCCTGAATGGCTCCCACCCTGTCTCCTTCGACAAGGCCTGTGAATTTGCTGGCTTCCAATGCCAGATCCAGTTTGGGCCCCACAATGAGCAGAAGCACAAAGCCGGCTTCCTTGAGTGAGTGACCCCCATTCTGTGCCCTGTCAGGGCTCAGGACTCCCTCCCATTGTGACCCCAGGGGGCCTGTCTCCATCCCAGGCCTTCCCCTATTTCCTCTTTCAAGGTACCAGGGTCTGACCCACATGGGTACCTTTTCAGTGTCCATCATCCATTTGTCTCCTCCCTGGCCCCATGTGGAATATCAATGTCTTTCAGATTCCCTGCTCCTGCCCCCTACCTCTGAAATAAGCATTTAATTTTTTTGAGATTCTCTGAAGAATTTTACCATGGTAGCCAGAGGGAAACAGGGTCCATTTTCATCACAGGGAACATCAGATCTCAAAAATCTCACAGGTCTCATCCACTGGTATTTCTCAGAATATGTAGAGTTTGGTGTGGCTTTCTCAGCTTCTTACAAGCATGGTTGTCCTTCTGGTGAGCTCCTTCTGCTCTTGGTTCCCTGAAATCGTGCTCTAGACCCTTTTTTCCTCAGGGAATGAGCCTCCAAGTCAAGTTCCCTCAGTCTGTTTCTCTGCAGGGAGAGACACAGGCTGCATTCAAGAGCAAATGCTAAGTCATCTTGATTACAGGGCATTCCAGGCTCTGTTTCCTCGAGTCTTCCTTCTCCCCAGAGATAACACTGTGTAACACTGTCCTAGACACTTCCTCACCCCCTAGACCCACAGTCCATGGCCCACATGTCCCTGATGCTGTCCGCTACATGCTGACCCTCCCTTTTCTGGTGTAGCCTGAAGGACTTCCTGCCCAAGGAGTATGTGAAGCAGAAGGGAGAGCGTAAGATCTTCCAGGTGAATGGGGATAGGGGCAGGTGTTTGGGATGACCCGGGAACTTTGCTGTTTAATCCTGCTGACTAAATGGACCCCGCCCCCTCATTGTCACCCCTACCCCGCTTCCGCCTGCCAGGCTGTTCCCCCACCTCTCCTGTGCCAAGAAAGCAGAAGACCTGGGCTTCTAGTCTCAGCTGCATCACTGCATATGCTGTGGAACTCAGTTCAATATTCTTGTTTTCTTCTCTTTACCTCTAACATGGGATAATGATACCTGCCCTGCGTAGGGTTGATAGGGGGTCAAATGAGATAGCACACCTGAAATCACTGTGAGGGGTATATCTTTGTACAAACGGAAGGTGTTATCCCCACTCTGAATCCTTAGCCCAAGAGGCCTTCTATTTGACGTTCCACTTCCTACCTGTCCATTCATGTCTCCAGAATGTCTGCAAGTTCCTTAACTACATCCCTCGCTTCTTGAATCCTTGCTTCTGCAGAGCCCTTGTCAGCCCCATCCCGGCACCCTCTCATTTCTCATAGCCTGCACTCCCTAACCTTTCTGTGTTCCCATAATATTCTCCCATTATAGTTGACATCCCATCTTAACTGTTCGTCTTTGATATCATTCTCCTCACATTTTGCCAAACCTTTACCCATTTCATATTTGAAGGCACACAAGAACTGTGGACAGATGAGTGAGATCGAGGCCAAGGTACGCTACGTGAAGCTAGCCCGTTCCCTCAAGACATACGGCGTCTCCTTCTTCCTGGTTAAGGTGAGTCATGGACCCTTTTTCCTGCCCTCTCTTATTTCCACTCTTTCCCTTTCCTCTCCGAAGGTCTCTGACCCTGCCCTTGGTCACATTTCCCATCGTTCCCCATAAGTCCCATTCTCTTCCTTGTGAAAACTTGCCCGGTTGTCAGTCCTCCACCGCCACTCCCCTCCCTATCCTGCGTTTTCCCTCCCTTTCCCTTTATCCTAGCGTGGCCTTGTCCTAGGTCCATCCAGAGACACACCCTGGTTTAGCTCTCCTGCCCATCTCAGCACCCCTCTGTGGTCTAGATCTGATCCCCTGACCAGTAACACCAGCGACGGCCTCTACCTCACAGGAAAAGATGAAAGGAAAAAACAAGCTGGTGCCCAGGCTTCTGGGCATCACTAAGGAGTGTGTGATGCGAGTGGATGAGAAGACCAAAGAGGTGATCCAGGAATGGAACCTCACAAACATCAAACGCTGGGCTGCCTCTCCCAAGAGCTTCACCCTGGTGAGCGGGGGGTGCTCAGGGAGAGAGGGCTTTGGAGTTTTGAGACAGGGCAGCTGCAGAGGTCTTCCCCTTCTCCAGGGGGTAGGTGCGCTGAATGTGGCTCCAGTAAAAAGGAGAACTTTGGAACTATTGCAGGAACCTGGAGGTTAGAATAGAGGAGAAATTTTCTGGAGAATGAGGGAAACTTAAATGAAACATTCTTTAAAATCAACAGAACAAAACTAACCAGCAAGCTGAGATCACAGGAATCTTGGGGAGAGGGAAGGAAAGAAGAGATAGAAAGAAAAATAAGCCTCCCCTCTTTCAGCAGCAGCTACTTACAGTAGTTCCCCCCTCTGGCTTTGTGTTTTGGTCTTATAAATTGAAAACTGATCCCACCTTGAGGAAGTGCCCCACTGAGAAAGAGAAATCTGTAAAGGTGGTTTCCCCTTTTGGATACTAATGCTGATCCTCAACTGTGATCATTAATGAAAAATATGTCCTTCCAGTTTTATTGTCAGGGTGAGAGAAGAGAGATTTCCTAAATGGCTTATTTGAAACTGTGTAGCATAAAGATCACTCCTTGACAATAAAGTATTTCCCTTCAAGAAAAATAAAGAATTAGAAGATTGAAGAAAGGTAGACTTCTTCCTTGGCATGGGAGGCCACCCCCATCAGCCCAGCCTTGGGCACCCACCTCGCCCTTTTCTGTTCTGGGTGGATTCAGGCTTTCCCACTGAACCCCCACCTTGTCCCCCTAGGATTTTGGGGACTACCAGGATGGCTACTACTCAGTACAGACGACCGAGGGGGAGCAGATTGCACAGCTCATTGCTGGCTACATCGATATCATCCTTAAGAAGGTGAGCACTGCCTGCCTCGCCTTCTCCTTCTCCCCAAGCCAATCCTTTAGAAATGGGAATCCAGGTTCTGGAGAGTGGCTGACTGGGGAAAGAAGAGGCTGCTTTTCCACTTCCCTCTTCTTTAACTCTTGTTCTTTTTTTCTCCCTACAGAAAAAAAGCAAGGATCACTTTGGACTGGAGGGAGATGAGGAGTCTACTATGCTGGAGGACTCGGTCTCCCCCAAAAAGTAGGAAGTAGAGCTGGGCTGACCTCGTCCTTCTGGGGCAGGGAAGGCAGGACATGACTCCAAGGACTGTGAGGGGTGGGGGAGTCTTCAGGATGGTTCTTTACCTAGTCGCAGGCTGTAATGTGACCTCACGCACCTCCAGACCACAGGGCCTGTAGAGGTGGTAGAGCAGGGAGGGAAGGGGACAGGAGGAGGCAGTCCTTGGAGTGCTCCCGATACGTCCCTCTCTAGGTCAACGGTCCTTCAGCAGCAGTATAACCGGGTGGGGAAGGTGGAGCACGGCTCCGTGGCCCTGCCTGCCATCATGCGCTCCGGAGCCTCTGGTCCTGAGAATTTCCAGGTGGGCAGCATGCCACCTGCCCAGCAGCAGATTACCAGTGGCCAGATGCACCGAGGACACATGCCTCCTCTGGTAAGAGCACCCTCATGGCCCCCACTTGTCTGGGTCTAGCCAGGAGTTGGCAGTCGTTTCCCATGTCCCTGTATGTATTCTGCTCCTTGGGCCCAGGCTCTCTTTTACCTTCTCTTTCCTCTAAGTGTTCCCTGTTCCTCCTCTGTCTGGTAGACGTCAGCCCAGCAGGCACTCACTGGAACCATCAACTCCAGCATGCAGGCTGTGCAGGCTGCCCAGGCCACTCTGGATGACTTTGACACTCTGCCCCCTCTGGGCCAGGATGCTGTGAGTATGGGATGGAGGACAGGCTGACAGTACTGCAGCTGGGACTCCATGGAACAGGGTTGGGGTTGACTGGAGCAGAAGGGACCCTGAGGTTTGTTTCTCTTTCTCTCAGGCCTCGAAGGCCTGGCGTAAGAACAAGATGGATGAATCAAAGCATGAAATCCACTCCCAGGTAGACGCCATCACAGCTGGTACTGCCTCCGTGGTGAACCTGACAGCAGGTAGGCCGATGCCAAGCTTTGGGGGTGTATGGGGGAGGCGGAAGGTGAGCATGTGCAAGCATGAGTGTGACGCTCGGTGTGACTGCACCTTGACTCATGGAAGGGACTGTGTGTGTACGTGTCACTCAGGACATGTGTGTGACTAACTGCCTATGACTGTGCTCCTCCCAGCCCTCCGTCTAGCCTGCTCTGTCCCTCACACATGCTCCTCTTCCTCCTCCTCCCCCAGGGGACCCTGCAGAGACAGACTATACCGCAGTTGGCTGTGCAGTCACCACAATCTCCTCCAACCTGACGGAGATGTCCCGCGGCGTGAAGCTGCTGGCTGCCCTGCTGGAGGACGAGGGCGGCAGTGGCCGGCCCCTGCTGCAGGCAGCCAAGGGCCTGGCAGGGGCGGTGTCAGAACTGCTGCGCAGTGCCCAGCCGGCCAGCGCTGAGGTCAGGGCCCATGGGGCTGGCACTAGGGAGGAGAGCGGGTTCAAGCCCAAGGAGGAGAGGCCAGTCCAAGTTGCGTGATGGGAGTGTGAGACCCATGGGCATGTAGGACCCATGGGTAGGGACTGGGCAGCTTCTGACCGGTGTCTACTCTCCACAGCCCCGTCAGAACCTGCTGCAAGCAGCTGGGAACGTGGGCCAGGCCAGTGGGGAGCTGTTGCAGCAAATTGGGGAAAGCGATACTGACCCCCACTTCCAGGTTGGTGACTTACCCAACCCCAGAACCCCAGTTTCTAGGAGGTAGTCTCTGATCCTGAATCCAGCTCCTAGTCCTGCTACTATAAATTGACCCCTCAGACCAGCCTGAACCTCTGTTTCCAGGAGATGACACTGGGAACCTCTAGTCCCTTTTTTGGGGATGAGAATTCAGAAACCCTGAATCCAAACTTAACCAACTAGTTTACCCTTGGCCCTTATTGGTGATATTTTTAGCTGCCTGTCCTCTTTCTCTGTCTTCCCCATATGTAGCCCTCACCCTAACTTGAGGGCATCTTGATCCCCACCTTCCAGCCCTTTAGACCACACACCTTGAGGACGCTGTTCCTCTAGCTCCCCCTTCCCCACCTCATGCCAGTTTCCTCAGCTGACTTGTCATCCTGGATTTCCTACACAGATATGTGCACCCAGAGGGGCTGGGGTTCGATCTCCCCCCGATCCCCCCACGGTAACGGCCTCTGGCCTGGGCCTTCCCAGCTTTGTTCTCTCTGAGCCGCATACACTCGCTTCTGCCCCCTCCCCTGTCCCCCTGGGGGAGCAGAACATGCCAGGAGCTGGGGAGGCAGCCACAGGCAGGACTTGAGAAAATGGGGTCGTGGAGGGTAGTACAGGGGCTTGTTCTCAAGACTCCAGGGTGACTGTTTCCAACCAAGATTGAGAAGAAATGGAGAAAAGAAGCTGAGGGGGTAGGTGGGACCCCAAGAGGTACCTCCTCCCTCCATCCCATTGTAACAGCGCTGCCCTCCCTCCCCAGCGCGGTCCGAGTGTATCCGCCTCATGCATTTCCCCCTTTGGTGTAGGCTCTGTTTCTCTTGGTGTGGGTTTGTTCCTCGGTGTAGGTTCTGTCCTACTTGGTGCTCGAGGCAGGGGCTTGGGGTAGGTTCTGGTTGCTCTGTACATACTGCTCTGTGATTGGAGTCAGTGGGAATAATGAAACAGCTTATGCGTCCAAGAAGGGTCCATGGATCCCAGGCCCGATCCCGATCCCAGGCCATGCTGACTGCTGTTTTCTCACAGGACGTGCTCATGCAACTAGCCAAGGCCGTGGCAAGTGCTGCAGCTGCCCTGGTCCTCAAGGCCAAGAGTGTGGCCCAGCGGGCTGAGGACTCGGGGCTTCAGACCCAGGTTATTGCTGCAGCAACACAGTGTGCCCTGTCCACCTCCCAGCTGGTGGCCTGTACCAAGGTGAGCCCCGAAAGCTTCTCCAGCCTGTGCCGAGTGGTGTTGCTACCACGAACGCAAGAGCTTCTCACTTCATTTCTTTGACCCCGGAGGCCTCACTCTGCAGCCTAACAACTACTGTGAACACAAACACTTCACCTCACAACTCATTTCTCTTGCCTACATCTCTGAAACTCAGTTTGCCCACAGGTGGTGGCACCTACAATCAGCTCTCCCGTCTGCCAAGAGCAACTGGTGGAGGCCGGACGACTTGTGGCCAAGGCCGTGGAAGGCTGTGTGTCCGCCTCCCAGGCAGCCACAGAAGATGGGCAGCTGTTGCGGGGGGTAGGAGCGGCAGCCACAGCCGTCACGCAGGCCCTGAATGAGCTGCTGCAGCATGTGAGGGCCCACGCCACAGGGGCTGGGCCTGCTGGCCGTTATGACCAGGCCACTGACACCATCCTCACTGTCACCGAGAACATCTTTAGCTCCATGGGTGATGCTGGTAAGGACAGCCCCCACCCTTTCAAGAAGACAGAGAACCCCAGTGAGGTTCCTCAAGGCCCAGTATGCTGGGTGTTTAATCTCTGAAACTTCTGGTTCCCCATCTGCAAAGCAGGAATATAATCTCTGCCTTCTTTGGTCCATTTAAAAAACATTCCAAAGTATATACAAAAATAGATGGAAAGAGGCATTATTAAGAGACTGCCATGCCCACCGCACTCCCTCACCCCTCAAATCCTTCACAAAGATTCTCATCCTCTCAAGACTGCTGAAAATACGCACTGGAGACTGTCTTTCCCTTCATCGAAGCCCACCAGGAAATTTATTCCTTTCTGAGAGCCTAAACTCAGAAAATAATAACTCCAGGGAAATCACTCAGAGAACTTTCATGTCTCCTTACTGTCCCCAAAAGCCCTGTCTGCCTTGTCTTCCCCCACTCCCGACACCCTCTCAGTGTCTCTGGCTTCCTTCCCTGACTGTGCCTGTGCTCCCAGGTGAGATGGTGCGACAGGCCCGCATCCTAGCCCAAGCCACCTCTGACCTGGTCAATGCCATCAAGGCTGATGCTGAGGGGGAGAGTGACCTGGAGAATTCCCGCAAGCTATTAAGCGCCGCCAAGATCCTGGCCGATGCCACAGCCAAGATGGTGGAGGCTGCCAAGGTACAGATCCTTCTGTGCAGACCCCCAGACTGGGCCTTGCAGGGACATAGAAAGGTCCAGATGGGTCATCCTCATCTGATGGGAGGGACTCAGGAAAAGCAGAAGATACAGAAGAACAAACATAGGAGCACTGAGGAAGTACATGCTCCCCTAGGCGGTGGTGGATGGCGCCAGGCTTCCAGCCAGTGTGACTCCCAGAGTCCTCACTGACAGGAAACTGTACATTTTCTTCTTCTAAGTCCGAGGCCTGCTATTCCCTCTTCCCTACTTTGCTGCCACCACTTGCCTGCTTCCTGGATCCCTCTGCTTTCTGGTCTCCTGTGAAAGCACATAGGCTTTCAGTTCCAGGGGTCTGCTGCTAGCAGAACAGAGAAAGACAAAGCAATGGGCCACAGGGGTGTAAGGGTGCAGAAGACTGTCAGGAAGATGCCCCTGGGCTTGGGGGCTCTTCAGTTTGCAGGAGTCACCAGGGCCCCTGCTTTGGTATCCCTGAGATCCCTGCTGTAAACTGCATCTTCCTTGTCCCAGGGAGCCCTGCTCACCCCCATTTGTTGGTGGTATGTTTTGGGGAGTAGGAGAAGAAACATGGCCTCTTCCCCAAAAAGGGGAAGCAGGAATAATTCCACCTAAGGAAGGGATTTCAGCATCCCAAAGGGAAGCCAGGGCCTCCTGAGGCTCCCCACTTGCCCATTTCAGGCAACTCATCCCAACCATGATTACCTTCCAGTGGGGATAGAAGTGACTTCAGGAAAATAAGTCTGAGTCTGGAGGGGTCAGAGAAAAGCTTATTTAGGGTCCACAGGGATGCTGGATGATAACTGTCCCTCTCGCCACCTCTCAGGGAGCAGCTGCCCACCCTGACAGTGAGGAGCAGCAGCAGAGGCTGCGGGAGGCAGCTGAGGGTCTCCGCATGGCGACCAATGCAGCTGCGCAGAATGCCATCAAGAAAAAGCTCGTGCAGCGCCTGGAGGTAAGGCTGGGAAATACAGCAGTGTAGGTGCTGTGGGAGGAAGGAAACCGGGAAGGACATGCGGAGAGAGCATCCGTTAATATTTCTTTGAGGGATAGTGTGGCCAGGATAAGCCAGGGACAGGGTACAGGAATGCCTGGGGCTGGTCATCACTATTCTGTCCTTACAGCACGCAGCCAAGCAGGCTGCAGCCTCAGCTACACAGACCATCGCTGCGGCCCAACATGCAGCCTCCACCCCCAAGGCCTCTGCTGGTCCCCAGCCCCTGCTGGTGCAGAGCTGCAAGGTGAGACTCCAGGAAGTGTACGGGGGCGGGAGGAAGTGTGGGAGGAGGGGGACTTTCCCCCAGCCTGTGGGGAAGTGGCTCTTATAACATTTTCACCTACAGGCTGTGGCAGAGCAGATTCCACTGCTGGTGCAGGGCGTCCGAGGGAGCCAAGCCCAGCCTGACAGTCCCAGTGCTCAGCTAGCCCTCATTGCTGCCAGCCAGAGCTTCCTGCAGGCAAGGCACCCTCTGCCCACGTCTCAGCCCAGGCCCTTCCCACTCCTCTAAGACCTCTAAGATTTAATCAGATTAACTCTCTGCCAATAGCCTCTTCCCCAGTACTGAGCTCCAGTGAGGGCATAAGGTACACTTCATCTACCCTCCTGTTCCCCAACAGCCAGGTGGGAAGATGGTGGCAGCTGCGAAGGCCTCCGTACCAACAATTCAGGACCAGGCTTCGGCCATGCAGCTGAGTCAGTGTGCTAAAAACCTTGGCACCGCATTGGCTGAACTACGTACCGCTGCCCAGAAGGTATGGGAGCTGACTCGCTTCTTTGGAAGTTGAGAGTGGAGCCCTGGGATCATGGAGCATCTGTGCAGAATACCCTAAAGTGGATAACTGTGCAACCTGAGGCATCAGTGAGATACAGCTGTACCTCCTACACCTCAAACCCCATATCTTTGTAGGCTCAGGAAGCATGTGGGCCTTTGGAGATGGATTCTGCTCTGAGTGTGGTCCAGAATCTAGAGAGAGACCTGCAGGAAGTGAAGGCAGCAGCTCGAGATGGCAAGCTGAAACCCCTACCTGGGGAGACAGTACGTATTCATAAGACCTCATTCTTACTCAAACCCTGAAGTCTTCCTTCCCACCTGTGCCCCAGAGCTGCCCAGAACATCACTTAAACTGCCAGCTGTCCCCAAGTAGCTTCTCAAGTTCCATCTTCCCCATTCCTTCTGCATCTGTGCCCCTGAGTCTCCCCCTTCATCTCTAGATGGAGAAATGTGCCCAGGACCTGGGCAACAGCACCAAAGCAGTGAGCTCCGCAATCGCCCAGCTCCTGGGAGAGGTTGCCCAGGGCAATGAGAATTATGCAGGTACGTGGGCAGGGCCAGGAGTGGGGCATGTGGTGAGGAGGATGGGGGAATAGGAGCTGGATAAGGGATGGGACTGATAGGAAACAGCCAGCATCAAGGCCTGACGGTGAGGGTACCTTCTCCCTTCCTTCCTCTCTCCTCGTCTCCTACCCCAGGTATTGCAGCTCGAGATGTGGCAGGTGGGCTGCGGTCCTTGGCCCAAGCTGCCAGGGGTGTAGCTGCCCTGACATCAGACCCTGCGGTGCAAGCCATCGTGCTTGACACAGCCAGTGATGTACTGGACAAGGCCAGCAGCCTCATCGAGGAGGCGAAAAAGGCAGCTGGCCATCCGGGGGACCCTGAGAGCCAGCAGAGGCTTGCCCAGGTCAGGTATTGGGACGGGGCCACTTCCTCCCTCTCCCCCAGATCCCAGCAGAAGGCCCACCCTGCCTGGAGAGAATCTCATCTGCAGTGACAGCTCCTCTCTGGATTCTACCCTTCCTTCTCTCAGTCTTAGTATAAGCGTCTCAGCTAGACTGAGGAAGGGGCTGCGCTAAACACCACATTTGGACACCATTACTTGATACCCTGACTACAGCCTGTTCAGCTACAACACCCCCTCTTTCTGCTTTCACTTTCAGAGGCTCCCATGTCCCATGAGTGGAGGAGGGGATCTCCCAACTATTTCCGTTTTGGCAACCCCCATCTCCTTTCCTACCTCAGGTGGCCAAAGCAGTGACCCAGGCCCTGAACCGTTGCGTCAGCTGCCTGCCTGGCCAGCGCGATGTGGACAATGCCCTGAGAGCAGTGGGAGATGCCAGCAAGCGACTCCTAAGTGACTCGGTAGAGGGGCAGGGTGAGGGGGGAACCTAGGGGATGAAGAACTCCAAGCTCCTCCTCCTACTTCTGGACCTCTCCTTGACCCCAACTTCCCAGATGTATCCCCCTTCACTGAGCCCAGGCTCTGCGCGCACCTACCAGCCCTCCTTTACCAGACTCTCCCTCACATCCTTTCCCATTCTTACACCTGACTTCCCCTCTGACCGTGCAGCTTCCCCCCAGCACCGGAACTTTTCAAGAAGCTCAGAGCCGGCTGAATGAAGCCGCTGCTGGGCTGAATCAGGCAGCCACAGAACTGGTGCAGGCCTCTCGGGGAACCCCTCAGGACCTGGCTCGAGCCTCGGGTCGATTCGGACAGGACTTCAGCACCTTCCTGGAAGCCGGCGTGGAGATGGCAGGACAGGCTCCGGTATGAAGAGGCACAGGGTCTAGTTCACGGGTTAGACTGGAGGCATCTGTGTGACCACGGAGTCCTGTCCGGCCCCTGGCTCCCTCCCCTTCCCAGTCTCTAGCAGTACTTGAGTGTCTGGGACAGAGGCCCCTTTTAGAGACAGATAAGAAAGGATCAGACAATGTGTTGACCTTCTCACCAACAACAGAGCCAGGAGGACCGTGCCCAGGTCGTGTCCAACTTGAAGGGCATCTCCATGTCTTCAAGCAAACTTCTTCTGGCTGCTAAGGCCCTGTCCACAGACCCTGCTGCCCCCAACCTCAAGAGTCAGCTGGCTGCAGCTGCCCGGTAAGCAGAAGCTAGGAAGCCCAGCCCTAGAATGTTGAAGAGATTGAGGAGGGGGAATTTCATGAGAAGTCCCTGGCTTAGGAGTAATTATAGACAAAAGAGAAATAGCTGGAGACTTCCCATGTGCACAGGATGCAGAAATGATGACCTAGGCACCCATTCACTTGACTTCCTTTTCCTCCCAGGGCAGTGACCGACAGCATCAACCAGCTCATCACCATGTGCACCCAGCAGGCGCCAGGCCAGAAAGAGTGTGACAATGCCCTGCGGGAATTGGAGGTAGGCTCTGGCAGGCCAAATGGGGTTGAGGTTGAGGAAAGTGTTCTGGGTTTGTGGTGAAGGGATGTCTTGGATCTCACGTCAACCCCCGCCCTACACAGACGGTCCGGGAACTCCTAGAGAACCCAGTCCAGCCCATCAATGACATGTCCTACTTTGGCTGCCTGGACAGTGTCATGGAAAACTCGAAGGTAGGTGTAGCCAGGAACCCAGGAGGGCAGAGGGCAGGAAGAGGAAACTAACTAGGGGCTGCCCTACCCCTCTGAGGAAGGATCTGACTCTCCGGATACCCTCTGTTCCTCAGGTGCTGGGTGAGGCCATGACTGGCATCTCCCAAAATGCCAAGAACGGAAATCTGCCGGAGTTTGGGGAGGCCATCGCCACAGCCTCCAAGGCGCTCTGTGGCTTCACCGAGGCAGCTGCACAGGTTATTCTCCTGAGATGGTCCCTGAAACTCCCCTGCCCTCCCTACCCCTCCTCCTCACAGCCTGACATGCAGAGCAGTCAAAAGTTATGTGGAAAAAAAAAAGTTATGCTTACAAAGCCAACTCTATGGAGAGTGGAGTTCTTAACCCCTCCTAAAGTGGAGATATTTGTCACCAGTTGTAGAACACCAACAGTTCTGATTGCTGTCACCCCTGAGCCCTGGTGCTTTGGGTTATGATTACACTGTCCACCCACTGGGCCTTCTCCAGCCCTGGCTTTCTTGCTATATACTGATTAACATATGCAAATTATTTTCACATAATTTTTACTTTAGTACCAGGGACTATATTTCCAATTACTTGAGTCACCACTTAAATTTGCTTTTTTCTACATTATGAATTATAAACAGTCTATTAGCTCTGAGAGTATTTTGCTTTAGTATGTGAATCCTTAAGACAAACTGGCGTGGGAGTTCATCTGAGTTTCCCATCCTGCCTCCCTTTGCCCTGTTCTGTTGGGTGGCCTGCTCTATATGGTTTGACTTATTTCTGGAAAAGCATGAAGAGGGAAAAGCAAAGCTACCATATGTTGGGTGAAGTAATAATCAAGCCTTATGATGGTCCTCCAATCAAAACAAATTTTGGGCAACTGTTACACCCATTCCTTCCCCTTTCCAAATCTAGAAGCCTGGAGATACTGTAAATGTTAACCGTCCCCATAGTTTTAAAACTCTCTAAAAGAGGCTTTCAGTGTATATGTGTTTATGTGTGGCTTTCAAGCTAACTTTTTTCACTGCTACTTACAGTAAGCAATACTTTTCACCTTAAGACCAAGCATACACACGCATACACATCTAAATAGAATTTTGATAAAAACTTTATTATGTGGCTTTCCTTTTTTCCTTTTTTAATCTTCTGAAATGTTTGAACACATTTAACGAAACAGGAAAGGGTTTTTTCCGCTTTTTTTTATAGTGTAACTGTAGCTGGTTAATACACCTCCACTCACATAGAACCCTGGCCACTAAACTTACCTCTGCTGCCCATCACTATTTAACTCCCACCTGAGGAATATTCCTTATTCTTCACCCCACTTCCTCTCTCCTCAGGCTGCATATCTGGTTGGCGTCTCTGACCCCAACAGCCAAGCTGGACAGCAAGGGCTGGTGGAGCCCACACAGTTTGCCCGAGCAAACCAGGCAATTCAGATGGCCTGTCAGAGTTTGGGGGAGCCTGGCTGCACCCAGGCCCAGGTAACTCCAGGGGACAGGTACCATGGGCAGGTCTGGGAAGGGCTGCTGAGCCAGGCTGCACCAGCCCTGTTGGGGGGAGAGGGCACGTGGAGGGGGGACGTGCTGGGGAGAGAGCGGAGCCCCATCTCTGACCTTCCACACGCAGCTTCTCTGGGTAATTGTCTTCTCCTGCATGTTTCTCATCATTCCTTCAGTTACTGCCAAGCTCACCACTTCTGTATGGACGTTTGAGATCACTTTCCTGCTGAGCCTGTTATGATTTCTCCATTAGTGTGTCAGCCCTTCGCCTTCCTTCCCCCTACACCCTGCTTATCTTTGGGCATCTCTGTCTCCCAAACCTTGACTTTTCAGGTGACTCTGTCTTTCCTAATTAGACTTCCAAGGGTATTACTCTCCACCCCAACCTAAAGCGGCTCCTCCCTGGTGTGAACACTTCCCTCCTGCCCTCAACACAGCTCTTCCACGATTCTGTCTCCTCAGGTGCTCTCTGCAGCCACCATTGTGGCCAAACACACCTCTGCACTGTGTAACAGCTGCCGCCTGGCCTCTGCCCGTACTGCCAATCCTACTGCCAAGCGCCAGTTTGTACAGTCAGCGAAGGAGGTGGCCAACAGCACAGCCAATCTTGTCAAGACCATCAAGGTTCCCAGTGTTTGAATTCTCAGCCTCTCCCTGACCTGTCTAGTCTTCTCTCCCCTGACCTTCCCTGTCACTCCCTGAGGCCTTCTACAAAATCCCACTGCCTGAGCCCAAGCCCTTTCCTATCCACACTGGTCATCACCACCCTCTCCCCACACCCTTTAACCTTTTAGCTCAGGAGGGAGACCTGGGCTTCGCTGCCTTTGCCTACAGTCCATCCTGAGGGCCTCTGTGTCATTCCCACTTCAGGCACTAGACGGGGCCTTCACAGAGGAGAACCGTGCCCAGTGCCGAGCAGCAACCGCCCCTCTCCTGGAGGCTGTGGACAATCTGAGTGCCTTTGCATCCAACCCTGAGTTCTCCAGCGTTCCTGCCCAGATCAGCCCTGAGGTGAGGCAATGTGAAGGAAGAACTGATGGGGTGGCTGCCACCTCATCTTCCTGGAGTCTTGAGACTCACCTCCCTGCCTCCCTTCTCTCCAGGGCCGGGCTGCTATGGAACCCATTGTGATCTCTGCGAAGACAATGTTGGAGAGTGCCGGGGGCCTAATCCAGACAGCCCGGGCCCTGGCGGTCAATCCCCGGGACCCCCCGCGCTGGTCAGTGTTGGCTGGCCACTCCCGTACTGTCTCCGACTCTATCAAGAAGCTCATTACAAGCATGAGGTATGGGGGTCAGGTAGAGAACCAGTGTGACTGGGGGACATACGCTGTGGCAGAATGGAGGGGTGGGCACTTACGTGCAATGAGATGGGACAGTGTTAGAGGACACCTGTTGGCCAAGATTTGGGGGGTGCAGGGGAAAAGGTAGGCTAGCCTTGTATTCAAGGGATGTTCTTCGTGTTGAAGCCTGTGATGTGTCTGCAGGGACAAGGCTCCAGGGCAGCTAGAATGTGAGACAGCCATTGCAGCTCTGAACAGCTGTCTGCGGGACCTGGACCAGGCTTCCCTCGCTGCAGTCAGCCAGCAGCTTGCTCCCCGTGAGGGTATCTCTCAAGAGGTAAGGGGGAAGAGGGTCCTATGAAAGCTTATGTCTGGGAGGAGGGCTGACAGGCTTAAGGAGGATGGGCGATCTGGGAGAGGGCTTCCTAGAGACATCGAGGGTATGAAACATGCCGGGGGTGGGGGGGATAGTTGGATATGAGAAGAGTAGGGTCCTGTGCAACTGGAGGGTCCCATCACAGGTCATAGTCAGGGCTAAATTTCACTTCCTCCCCAGGCCCTGCACACCCAGATGCTCACTGCGGTGCAGGAGATCTCCCATCTTATTGAGCCACTGGCCAGTGCTGCCCGGGCTGAAGCCTCCCAGCTGGGACACAAGGTATCTGGGGAGACAAATGGGGAGTCCGAGGCAGGATGAACAAGGGGACTTGGCCCAGCTGACCCCTATTCCAACCCCCTGCCTCAGGTGTCCCAGATGGCCCAATACTTTGAGCCACTCACCCTGGCTGCCGTGGGTGCTGCCTCCAAGACCCTGAGCCACCCACAGCAGATGGCGCTCCTGGACCAGACTAAAACCTTGGCCGAGTCTGCCCTGCAGTTGCTGTACACAGCCAAGGAGGCTGGCGGTAACCCCAAGGTACTGAGGGCTGGGTTGCGAGGCGGCTGCTATAAGAAGTTGGAGATGCAGGAACAGCGGGGCCCCCCCTCATTCACTGTGCCCCACAGCAAGCAGCTCACACCCAGGAAGCCCTGGAGGAGGCCGTGCAGATGATGACAGAGGCCGTGGAAGACCTAACAACCACCCTCAACGAGGCAGCCAGTGCTGCTGGGGTTGTCGGCGGCATGGTGGACTCCATCACGCAGGCCATCAACCAGGTTAGAGACCCGGGGTGCCTGTGGACAGAGCCTACCGCAGGCCAGGTCCCTGAGCCCAGTGGCAGGGACCAACAATCTTTTCCCTTCCCTCATCCTCCTCCCTCAGCTAGATGAAGGACCAATGGGTGAACCAGAAGGTTCCTTTGTGGATTACCAGACAACTATGGTGCGGACAGCCAAGGCCATTGCTGTTACCGTTCAGGAGATGGTGAGTTTGAGAGAGTTTTAAGAGGACTGCCCTTGGAGAGCTGAGTTTGGACATAACTCCCCTTTTTCCACTATCACCAGGTAACTAAGTCAAACACCAGCCCTGAGGAGCTGGGCCCTCTTGCAAACCAGCTGACCAGTGACTACGGCCGTCTGGCCTCACAGGCCAAGCCCGCAGCTGTAGCTGCTGAAAATGAAGAGGTAACTTGGAGGCAGTTCTGACCTCCCCCCTGCCCCTCACAGAACATCCCAGTGGCGTGTCCCCTGTCCCATCATGTCAGTCTCTAGGGCTGTCCCATCCTTGCCCCCTCTGGTCTTTCATAGAAGGGGGAGTTCATCCTCAGGGCCACTCCACGAAAGAGTGATCAGAGTTCTGTGTAGGGGTGGCATCAAAGCCTTCAGGCACAGGGACAAAGGAGACAGCCCAGGACCTAGAGATTTCCTGGTCTGCCACCATATCCTCTGCTGCCCTTCCTCTGGGCCTGTGGCTGCTGCTCTGCTGTGCTGCAGTCTATATTCCCTTCTTAGTTCTTTCTTCTTGCAAATCCCTGAAGCTCTTCCTTCCCTAAGCTCCTGGCTTTCCAAGAAAGCCAGTAATTGGATCTTCACATGACACACTTAATCCCCAACCCCAAACCCCTCCACAGCCACACACAGGCCAAATTATAATCCATGGCCTCTGATTCAAACAGCCAGCATGAAGTGCTTCTCTCCCTCCTCCTCACTCTGCTTAGCACTGCTGGTGCCCTCAGGCTATCATTTCCATGTGTGGGAAGTGACCTCCTGACTAAAGGCTGTGAAACAGGACGAGTCTACATGCTGGGCACTTTTCTCACAACCCCTTTAGTCTACAGTACATGTTACTTTAGGTCTTTAGTGACTCCTCAAGCACAGTGGAAGGACCTGAGTGCCTCTTGTAAAATCCATCTCCCTTTTCCATCTGCTCACAGATAGGCGCCCACATCAAGCACCGGGTACAGGAGCTGGGGCACGGCTGTGCTGCTCTGGTCACCAAGGCAGGCGCCCTGCAGTGCAGCCCCAGTGACGCTTATACCAAGAAGGAGCTGATAGAGTGCGCACGAAGAGTCTCCGAGAAGGTGACCGTGCTCATCCCTGCGGACCGGGGCCGGGCTCCCCAACCCTGCAGCCTTTCATGTTCCCCTCCAACCTTCCCAGCCCTCTCTGTCCCTTCTCTCAGGCACTGGTGACCTATCCCTTCCACAGGGCACCTACCACAGTCACCACGTGACTCTCCTCCCCCAGGTCTCCCATGTGCTGGCTGCACTCCAGGCCGGGAATCGTGGCACTCAGGCCTGCATCACAGCCGCCAGTGCTGTGTCGGGCATCATCGCTGACCTCGACACCACCATCATGTTCGCTACTGCTGGCACGCTCAATCGCGAGGGTGCTGAAACTTTTGCGGACCACCGGTGAGGGGGGAACCTGGGCCTCACGGAGGCAGGGTTGGGTATGGGGCCAGAAGAGGCTGGAGGGGTTGGGGGAAGCCTGAGAAGAGCTGATTGGGCCGGGCCGTCTCTCAGGGAGGGCATTCTGAAGACTGCAAAGGTGCTGGTGGAGGACACCAAGGTCCTGGTGCAGAATGCAGCTGGGAGCCAGGAGAAGCTGGCACAGGCTGCCCAGTCCTCTGTGGCCACCATCACTCGCCTCGCTGACGTGGTCAAGCTGGGTGCAGCCAGCCTGGGAGCTGAGGACCCTGAGACCCAGGTATCCACCTGACACCCTTAATTCTGGCCAGAACCACTTCCTGTTCCTCCTTTCCTTCCCACAGACCAGAGCCTCTGCTGTCCCACACAGGTGGTGCTGATCAATGCAGTGAAAGATGTGGCCAAGGCCCTGGGAGACCTCATCAGTGCAACAAAGGCTGCAGCTGGCAAAGTCGGGGATGACCCTGCTGTGTGGCAGCTCAAGAACTCTGCCAAGGTCAGAGGAATGAGAACAGCCTGAGGAGAGGAGGTGGATCAAGGTGCTTTTTCCCGTCCTTTAAAGTGATCCCTACCCCGTTCCTCTGATGCCCCCAGGTGATGGTGACCAATGTGACATCATTGCTCAAGACGGTGAAAGCTGTGGAGGATGAGGCCACCAAGGGCACACGGGCCCTGGAGGCAACCACGGAACACATACGGCAGGAACTGGCGGTGAGCGCGAGTCTGGGGCATCAGGGACTTGGGTCAGAGAGTGGCGTCATGACTGGCTGTAAACCTGTGCCACACCTACACTCACAGTGACACACTCACTCACTCATTCTCTTCGCTCGCCACAGGCTTCTTACTCAACCGCGCTCATGTCTTACCCTCCTCGCCTGTTTACTCCCTAGCATTTGACACCTACCTACCTTTGTTCTCCCATTTTCTCCAGTCACCAGTGATCTCTTAGTTGCCATATTCAGTGGCCACTTCTTGGCCTTCATCTGTTTTAGACATTTCCAAAGCAGCTGACTGTCTTAACCAGCCTCTCTTTGAAAGCCTTTCTTTCTTTGGCCTTCTTGACACCGGCTTTTCTCTTGCCTCTCACATCTCTTCTATGTCATCACTGAATCACCTTCAACCAAGTAAATGCACACAGGCCTAGAGGCCTTCCCAGAATTGCACAAATCGCCTTCCTATTCTGTCTTCCTCCTTGGCAATTCAACCACTGTCATTGTTCTCTAACAAGTTCACTTCCAGTTCTGACTTTAGTTGTTTTCAACTGCCTATTTGACATCAACATTGAGATGCAGCCAGCTGTTCTTCCTGACCTGCTGCTCCTCACTGACAATTGAAAGTTAACGATTGATTCCCCTTCTGTCACCTTTGACTTTACTGTCTTACTCACCACATGCAGGCCGTTGCCAGGTCCTCCCAACCCCCCTCCTCTCCCATTCCACTGTCAGCTCTCCCTCACTTTGACAGTTTTCTACCTGGTCTCCCTGCCTTCAGTCTCTATCACGTTCATCTTCCCTACTTCTGAATTCATCTTTCTGATCTGTTTTCATCTCCCCTTGGAAATGTCCAAATTGAAACTCCTAACTTTCTGCCTCCCATACCTGATCATTCCCTCATCTTTCCCATCTTAGTAAATGGCACTTTTTAGTAACTCGATTCCTAAAGGCAGAAACCCAGCTTTAACTGCTCTCTGGTTCCCCACACCCAAGCCCATCAGCAGTTCTTACAGTGCTCCCTCCAGATAGACCTCATTTTCTCTTTTCCCCATCTCTGCCACCACGGCCTTGCCCAGACCATCAGCAGTCCTTAGCTGTGTTTATGTGATGGCATCTATCTAACTCCCTGCTTCCACACTCACCCCCTCCAATCCATTCTCCCTACATAGTACTCAGGATAATCCTTTAAAAATATAAAGTAGATTATGTTACTTCAGTGCTTACAGCCCTTGAGTGGCTGTCCTGGCATCTGGTGTAAAATCCACCCTCCTTACACGGCCTTGCAGGCCCCATGGCCCCTGCCCACTTCCCCAGGGTCTCCTTATCCTGCTCTCTCTCCCTTTCCAGGCCCCCTGCACTCTCACCCACTGCCGGCCCCTGCACTTGCTCTCTTGCAGCTTTTTGAACATCTGGCTCCTCCTAATCCTTTAGACCTCAGCTTAAACATCCTCTCCTCAGAGTCCTTCCATGACCACCTTTCTGAGAAAGGACTTCCTTTTTCTTTCTCGTCACAGCACTGCCTTTTTCCTTTACAGCCCAGATCAGTCTCCTTTTTTGCACATTTACCTAATTATTGTCTGTATCCAAAACTAGGATGTAAGCTCCATGAGAACAAGGACCTTGCCTACCTTACTCTCCATCGCATCACAGCACCTCACATAGAATCTGCCACCTAGCTGATCTTTAGTGATTTGTTGGATGTATACAAACATCAAAATATTTTTATGACTTTTACATATTATGTAAAATTCTAACTTCCTTTTTCTGATATTCAAGGCCCCAACAACCTCTTCACCACCATGTCCATATTCTAGAACATTCCTTGATACTCTCCCACTTGACATCCTGGTTATTCACACTCTACCACTTACGTAAAATGCCCTCCTGTTACCTGTATCTCTTAAGACCCAGATCCTTGCCCCACCTTCACCACTCACCCCATCAAGGCTTCTCTATAGTTTAGGAATGAAAACCCAGTTCAAAGTTACTTCTTTAATTTCAAACAAATAAACTCTCCCCAATCACTGCAGTCAGAAATGATGACCAGCTACCTTCTTTTTATATTACCTGTCAATGTGTGAACTTCTCCAAACCCTTCACCTACAATAAATTCACTAATGAATGCTTGTTGAATGAACATACGGACGAGTGAACCAAATCACACGAGTGCTGCATCGTCTTACAGCCTCACTCACTGTGGAATTTTTCTTCTTGTTCTGCCGCAACAGGTCTTCTGTTCCCCAGAGCCACCTGCCAAGACCTCTACCCCAGAAGACTTCATCCGCATGACCAAGGGTATCACCATGGCAACAGCCAAGGCCGTTGCTGCCGGGAACTCCTGCCGCCAGGAAGATGTCATTGCCACAGCCAATCTAAGTCGTCGTGCTATTGCAGATATGCTTCGGGCTTGCAAGGTAGAAGTACTGGTGGTGAGGCAGAAGTTTGAGGCCTTGAGGCAGCTTTAGGGTAGAACATGGTAGGGAGAAACTGAGGGGCTTGGGGGACTGGGAGCTCTTTGGGGTCCTCCGGCTAACATGTTTCTCTGTGTATAGGAAGCAGCCTACCACCCAGAAGTGGCCCCTGATGTGCGGCTTCGAGCACTGCACTATGGCCGGGAGTGCGCCAACGGCTACCTGGAACTGCTGGACCATGTGCTGCTGGTAAGGCAGGAGTTGTCTGCTCCTCATACCAGCCTTCCTGAATATATAGTCCTCTCCCATAAGCTTCAGACCCAGCTGTCTGATACTTGGTTCAGATCTCCCTACCCCACCATCTATTCCCCGATCTGTTCTTATTTCCCAGCCTCCCTTTCACTGGGGCCCCATCATTCTTAGCATCTTTGGTTCTCCCACTCACCTCTTCCTCTTTTTCTTATCTCCTCTCTTCCCACCTGACCTCCTACTTCTCTCCTTTGTCATCTCTTTCTTCTCATTTCATCATACTCCTTACTCATTGTCAGCCGGTGAGTGACATACAGCCCCGCTGTCTTCCCATGCGTGCAGTGTGATACCCGAGTGCACTGGCATAGGCCGTGTGGTGTTTGAGGCTGTGTTCTGGAGTAGTCCAGGGATGGGGTCGGCAGGGGACTGTAGTCTGCCCTATTTCAGAGATCAAGGTAGAAGCTAAGGCCTGATGCCCTCTGCTCCCTTCCCGTCTTCCCCAGACCCTGCAGAAGCCAAGCCCAGAGTTGAAGCAGCAGTTGACGGGTCACTCAAAGCGTGTGGCTGGTTCAGTCACTGAGCTAATCCAGGCTGCTGAGGCCATGAAGGGTGAGGCGGGACCAGGGCAGGGAGGGAAGGGAAGGGAAACCCTTGTCCTGGGGAAGTCTCTACTTCTGGGTTATCTGCCCTGAGCTCGCCTCTGCTCGCAGTCCCCACAGGTGCCAGGGCCCTACTGATCATAACCATGCTGCCCAGTGCTCCTGATCTCCCTGCTCTGCCTTAGCCCCCTCCTTCCCCCTTCCTCCCCTCAGGAACAGAATGGGTGGACCCAGAGGACCCCACAGTCATCGCTGAGAATGAGCTGCTGGGAGCTGCGGCTGCCATTGAGGCTGCTGCCAAAAAGCTGGAGCAGCTGAAGCCCCGGGCCAAACCCAAGGTCAGTCCTGCTCCCTCCCTTTTCCCTACCCTCAGGACGGCAGAACGTCACCACCTCCAGGCCCTTTAACTTCACATCTGTCTCTGCAACCTTTGTGTCTTCTTTGCAGGAGGCAGATGAATCCTTGAACTTTGAGGAGCAGATACTGGAAGCTGCCAAATCCATTGCCGCAGCCACCAGTGCCCTGGTGAAGGCTGCATCAGCTGCCCAGAGGGAACTGGTGGCCCAAGGGAAGGTAAGGACTTAGATATCCAGAAGAATGGGGAAAGGAGCAGCTTTGTATTGTCGCCAGGAGGCTCTTAGGACCTGCAGAGAGCACAGGTCTAAGCAGGCTCCCCTCCTTCCTCCACAGGTGGGCGCCATTCCAGCCAATGCACTGGATGATGGGCAGTGGTCCCAGGGCCTTATTTCTGCTGTGAGTGTACAACTCCCGCTAGATGCCTCTGAGCTTAAGAGACTTGAGAAGGCTGGAGAGGGCATGGACCAGGGCAAGAGGCGTATTTTAATCTAATCTCCCTGCTTTAGGCTCGGATGGTGGCTGCAGCCACCAACAATCTGTGTGAGGCAGCCAATGCAGCTGTACAAGGCCACGCCAGCCAGGAGAAGCTCATCTCATCAGCCAAGCAGGTCGCTGCCTCCACAGCCCAGCTCCTCGTGGCCTGCAAAGTCAAGGCTGACCAGGACTCTGAGGCAATGAAACGGCTTCAGGTGAGGAATTCTGACCCATCCATTGTACCTCGAGCTGTGCTGCTTTAAACTGTCACCCCCAAGACATGCTTTCTGTGACAGAGTCGAGGGACTCTCTCAGCTGGGGCCTGACCTGGATTCTGAATTCATGCTGCCTTCTCTCTGCCCAGGCTGCTGGCAACGCAGTGAAGCGAGCCTCGGATAACCTGGTGAAGGCAGCACAAAAGGCTGCAGCCTTTGAAGACCAGGAGAACGAGACAGTGGTAGTGAAGGAGAAGATGGTTGGGGGCATTGCCCAGGTGAGCTCTGCCCCAGACACTCTGAGGGACACATCAGCAGGGCAGTCACAAAGCCCGTGCTGGTCCCACCCACCCTAAACCCTAATGCACGTGCTCACCGAACTGAGTTCCCTGTCTCCGTCCCTCAGATCATTGCCGCCCAGGAAGAGATGCTTCGGAAGGAACGAGAGCTGGAAGAGGCACGGAAGAAGTTGGCACAGATCCGGCAGCAGCAGTACAAGTTTCTGCCTTCAGAGCTTCGAGATGAGCACTAGGGCAGCCGCTTCTATTTAACGCAGACCCAGCCCAGAGACTGTGCCTGCCACTACCAAAGCCTTCTGGGCTGTCGGGCCCAGCCTGCCCAACCCCAGCACTCCCCAAAGTGCCTGCCAAACCCCGGGCCTGGCCCTGCCCAGTCCCGCTGCACATCCCCTGTCCCTTCCTGACTCCAAGTGCCTTCATGCCCTAGGGCCCCCGAAGTGCCTACCCCTCCCAGAGTATTAACGCTCCAAGAGTATTATTAACGCTGCTGTACCTCAGTCTGAACCTGCCAGGGCCCCAGCCCGCTGCACCCGGCCAGCAGCTTCCAGCCAGTCCCCACAGCCTCCGCTCTACTCATCCTTTTTTATACTATCTATCTACCCCCTCCCCCACCCACCTGTGGGGGTCGTGAGGGTGTAAGCCCCAACAGGCCATACTCCAATAAAGGTGATTCTGCCTGCAGCCTCCGCCTGGCTTCATGAGGAGGTGGGAGAGTTCCCCAGGGCTGTGGAGGAGAGAATGGGATTGAGTTCTGTTACCCTGCTTGATCTGGCTCTGAGATGGAGGGGCCCCTTCCTCCTACTTGCACCCAGATCCCTAAAGTCATCCTAGTTGGGACGCTGTCCCCAAGAAGCCATACTTCTGTCATCCCCTAGCTCACTAGCCAGCGCCTACGCCTCACCAAGTGTCATTCTTCTGTTGCTGGGACAGCAGCTGCCAGTGCTCTTTGTGGCTACCAGGACACTGTGTTCTTCATCACTGCTCAGGGTATGTGAACAAATCCAGTCCCTGGCCAAACCCAAATTTTCAAAAGCAGCTTTGCTGAAAATAGTAAGCCTATGGATCCAAGTGCCTGAGCCTAAGAGAACTGTGGCCACAGATTTGGTTGAGGCAGTTAACAAGCAAAAGTCCAACCTGTGCTCCCTCTGGTAGGATCCACTGTTGACCAGGTTGTGCACTTCTAGCCCCCTGCCCCTTGCTGCTACTCCTGCCTAGAACAGCACTAGAAGAAAAGGAACTGAGATGTGAGGCCAAATAGTCAGGGGGGCCAGGGTGCCCCTAGTGGCCAGGCAGGTGCTGGCAGCCTTGTTCCAGCTGCCCTGCTGACTTGGAGGTAGAGTGGAGGAAGGTGGTCAGGGAGGCAGGGGCTGTGTGCTTCCACTTCCTCCTGCGTTCATGCCCTCTGCCCATGCTGTGTGGACCACCTGGCAGATCTCTCAGATCTGCCACTATTTTCATGCATGATTCTTTAACCAGCCCTGTGGCCCGTTATGTTATTTCCTTGCTTCTCTCTCCAAGTAGAACACAAACACCACCCATCTGTTGCTACTCTGTCACCTTCCGTCACCTTGAAGTCATGACATCTGCTACTCCCACCCCATTAGAGTGAGTTTAAAGTAGACAGAATTACTTTGTCCTCCCCAGGGCAGTCTGTTAGGGAAGGTGCCAATTTTCTACCATCATTCCTGTCACCTGTGGTTAATTCTTTCAATATTTACTAAGCCTTGTCTATGCCTAGCATGGGAAAAGAGATGTACTATCACCTCTGACTGAGACTGGCAACTCCAGTACATACTGCTGTGGCCTCCAACCCCAGATTCAATGTCCTAGCATCATTGAGGACTTTAGAGATCAAATCCTTTTACAGCTTCCCCAACAAGTGGTAGTCCAGACTGTTTGAATGCCTCCAGCTATGAGCCCAAGACAGCTGCTTACTCCTGCTACCACTTCCCTGCCATGTCCTCAGGAACTGTGACCAATCACGTACCTCTCACTAGTGATGCCTTGGGGAGCTGGGAGCCTTCTTCGAATACCTATTAGACCAGCAGTTCTTAAAATGCGGTTGGCCCTTCAGCGCCCTGGAGGTTCCCAAGAGCCTTCAGGGGTCCATAAGGTCAAGGTCATTTTCATAATAGTACTAAGACATTATTTTCCTTTTCACAGTGTCAACATTTGCACTGACAGTGTGAAAACATTAGTGGGTAAAAGTGCCTTAGTACAAATCAAGGCCGTGACCCAAACTGTATTCAGTCATTGTAGTCTTCACCACCACACACTAGCAATTTAAGAAGTAAATGCTGGCTTCACTTAAGAATGTCCTCGATGAAGCAGTAAAAAAATTACTAACTTTATTAAATCTTAATCCTTTAGTAACAAGTCTTTTCACTATTCTGTGTGATGAACTGGGAAGAATGCATGGCACACTTCTGCTGCCCACCGAAGTGTGATGGTGTCTCAGGGAAAGCACTTAGATGGTGCTTTGAGTTGTGAGCTGAACAAGCTGCTTTTTCATGGAGCGACACATTTACTTGGAGGAATGACAAACAGACAAACCATGGTTATCAGACTTGGGTATCTGCAGATCTTTTCTCAAAAAGGAATAGAGTCTGTCACTTCCGGGAAGAACCTGACAGTATTTGTTGCCAATGATACAATGTGAGCTTTCAAGTGAAAATTAGAATTTTAGCCAACTTGTATCTGCCACTATGAGCTTTACAGCTTCCCGAAACTTAAACTTTTCTGTTGAAACCACCATGATTCTTTTAATAATATATAATGAAACGTGTTGACATTTGGAATACCTGCATAGCTCAGTGAATCAATATTTTCTGAATGATCGATGCATGATGTTACAAAATTATCCCTGGGTAGAAAAGCCAAACGAAGCGCGATATAGACAGGCATACGGAAGAGCCAAGTATACAGAGGGCTGACTGTAAGTTACAGATTTTCAACTTCACAGACCCCTGCCTTGTTCAAGGGTCAGCAGTATACTGTTTTCTTTTCCAACTACTTATCTGTGTGAGACTAGATTTTCTTCCTATATAGTACCTCAAACAAACCAACACATAACAACAGACTGAAAGCACACGTAGATTTTGAGAACCCAGCTGTCCTCCATTAAGCCAGATATTAAAGAGATTTGCAAAAATGTAAAATCACTACCATGCTCTAATTTGGAGAGGTGAATATATTTTTCATTAAAAATGTTAACATGGTAATGTATAATGGGTTTGTTTCTGTCATTTTTAATGAATTAATAAATATTTAAATTTTTTCTCAGTTTCCATTTTAATATGGTAAGTGTTGATAGATATAACCCACTCCAACAAAAGCTTTTTGGATTTCAAACCCCATTCTTAGTTCTTAAATGTGTAGGGAGTTCTAAGACCAAAAACTTTGAGAATCGCCCCACTAGACCATGAATTTCACTAGATCCACATAGTATCTTTGTGCATCCTGAACCTGGTGCACAAAAAAAATCACCCAGCAAATGTTTATCAAGTGCCAACTCTATACCTGATGCTACACTAGGCATTGGGGATTCAGAATTGAAAAACAGTCCCTGTTCTGGAGGATTCACAGACCAGTGGAGGAGGCAATCAGGTACAAGGAAAGTTATAACAGGGACTATGATGAGAATGTTAGGAGCCTGCACCAAGATCATGTACCTACCTATATTAGGTGGAGAGGGTAGGAGGGGAAGTGGCCAGGGACTGCTTCCCAGAAAAGCTGACATTTGGTCTGGGTCTTTACAGCCACCAGGAATCAACCAAGGGAAGAGCATTTTAGCCATAGAGAACAGAATGCATAAAAGGTGGAAGCTCTGAGAAAAGCATGGCGATTTCTAGCTCCTGCGCTTAGCTTAGTATGAATGCTGCATGAAGGGCAAGTCTGTGTACTGGGGGTGAAGCTGGAAATGAAAGGAGGTAAAGCTAGAGAGGTAGGCAGGGGCCAAAACAAAGGGCCTTATCTAATACCATATTAAGAAATGTGGATTTTTATCCTCAAAAGAGCAAGAGTGAAGGGAGAGGTTTTGGAGGATTTTAGGGTCCTATTTGCACCAACTTTAAAAATATCTTTGTGTAACAATGTCCAGGAGAGTTGGGGAACCAGGAGTAAGACCACCAACCACCAACCACCACAGACCCAGGCAGAAGGTAATATAAGGAGCTACCCAAGGCAACCCCAGAGACTTGGAGGAGGAACCTCATTTGTGGGAAGTAGAACCTACAGGATTAAGTGGATGTTGGAAGTGACCCCCAGGGGTCTGGCACTGAGTATGAGATGGATGAAAGTATCTTTCACAAGTTAGGAAAAAAACAGGGAGACAGACCCAACACTGCGAGGCAGGTTTGTTCTATGTGTAGCAGCAGTCAGCTAAGCAAATCTAAATACATTTCTGTGCCCCTACCTCCCCCAGCCTTGGGCCCACGGTTCCCACGATTCCCACCCCACAAGCAAAAGTCAGGCCTCCCATCCTTCTGCCCCAGGGGAGCAAGGCTTCTTCCGCCTCCTCTCCCCTACTCTCTCAATCCCCCACCCCCGTCAGAGGCGGCTCTCCACTTCCTCTCCCTCCACCACACCCCGAGGAAAAACGAAAACAAACAGCCTTGCACCCCGGGCCTCCGACCTCCTGACCCTAGGCCCTGGCTCCCAGGGCTGTTTCTGGAGGCCTCGGTCAGAGGGGACATCTCACCCCTGGCTCCCGACGCCCAGCAGCTCAGTAACTCTTTCCCTCGCCCCCTGCCTTCCTCGCCCCAGCTAGGCCCCGCCTCCCCAAGGGGAAACATCCCAAAAAAGGGCAGAAAAGAAATTTCGGCGTAAAGTTGGCCCACAAGGGAAGAGAGGAGTCCGCCAGGAAGAGGGGAAGAGAAGGGAGGGCGCTTGGGGCGACAAGGGAGGCAAGGGGGAAGTGGGGATGGGTGGGGGTGAGTGGAGGGACGATGGGGCTAGTGGAGCCGGGTGGGGGACAAGGAGGGGACAGAAAGGGACGAGTCCCGCGTTGGGGTGGGGGCAGGGAGCGCACCGGGTCCTGCCGGGCAGTAGCCACGTGGAAAATATGCGGGGCACGTGGGGGGCGGGGCAGGCGGGGCTCGGAGCTGGGTTCTGAGCGCTGCGACCTTAGAGGAGCGGCCCTGGCTCCGGGGGTAGGGGCTGGGAGGGGAAGAGCGGTCAGGCCCGCCCTCGGGGGCAGCAAGCGGGCGGCGACCTGGGCTCTGGGCTGCACTCCTGCCTCAGTTTCCCCAAGGCCCTGGTGAGACTTTCCACTCACTGCCACGTCGGTATCACAAACCTAGACTCTGGATCTCAGGGTAAACTGAGGCACTCCAACCGCGGAGAAGCCCCGCCTCCCAAGAGACATTTAATCTGGGGGGATTTACAGGAAACTTCTAAATTAAGGGCAGCAGCTGAGGGGGGGCACTCCGGTCCGTGCGCCCGGGCAGCTGCCGTGAGCTCAAGCCCCAAAATAGCCCCAGGGGCCCCAGCCGCAGCTGCCGCCGGGCCTGCCTGTCACTCAGAGGAAGTGAGGAACCCCCAGCCCCAGGGTCCCCTCCCCTCTGCAGCGCTACGGTTCTTTCAGCAGACTAACCCAGCTACTTTCCCTTCGACGGCTGATGAGGCGGGGAGAGGAGGGGAGAGGCGGAGCACCGAGGGGGCGGTCCCGAGGGGTGGGCGCAGGGAGGGCAGCCGCGCCCCCCGACCCTGCAGTGCTTCTGCCCCTACAAGGTTTGGGCCGCGGTGGGGGAGGGTCCCAGCCCCCGGCTCCGCCCGGTCCCTCCCCGCCTTTTAGGCGCCCGCGCGGCTGGGACATCCCAGTCCCGCTTGGTCCTCCTTGCCCGCCACTCGTGCGCCCAGTCCGCGCAGCCAGCCCAGTTCGCCCGGTCCGCACTGCCCGCCGGCCGGCCCGTCCCCCACCGCAACCATGGACGCCATCAAGAAGAAGATGCAGATGCTAAAGCTGGACAAGGAGAATGCCATCGACCGCGCTGAGCAGGCCGAGGCCGACAAGAAGCAAGCAGAGGACCGCTGCAAGCAGGTGGGGGTCCTAGGCCCTGTGGAACCCTCGCACCTCCCAAGGAGGGCAGCATAGGCCCTGCCCTGTGCCCCTCTGGCCTGCTGTCCAAGGCTCTACCATCCGTATGGGGGCTGGGCCTTCACAGTACTGCCCCATCCCGGCCCTAGCCAGAGCCACACTTCATGTCACCCACCACAGCCTGGAGAGCCCCAGTCCCCCAATTTCCACTCCTGCCCTTGCAATGATGGGCTCTGCTCCTTGGGACTGGAAGCTTTCTTGCTACTCCACCAGGTCCCTCCAACACCCCTGGCTGCACTGTCCCTCCTCTGCTATCCTTATTCCTCCCTGACAGCCTCTGAATATCTTAGAATCCCATCACACACAGCCCTGCCTCCTGCCTGGGCCTGGGCCTGCTGACTGAGGCTTCTCTCTTCCAGCTGGAGGAGGAGCAACAGGCCCTCCAGAAGAAACTAAAAGGGACGGAGGATGAGGTGGAAAAGTATTCTGAATCAGTGAAGGATGCCCAGGAGAAACTGGAGCAGGCTGAGAAGAAGGCCACCGACGTGAGTGTGGACTGGGGGACGGTGGGAGAGCTAGTGCACTGGGATGGGACCCAGACATGGGGATAGGGAGGACCCAGATATCCCTAGGACAGAAATGGTTTCCTTTCAGGAACCCAGGCTAGGGCAAGCTTGCACAGATAATCAGAGGCAGTGGGTAAATCAAAACCACTTACCACTTCCCCCAGAGGACATAGCGTTGTAATTCCATTTGGTTCCAGCTCTTAGAATGTACAGTGATCAGGCAGTGAGTCATTGTGGGGGTGAGTGGTACAAGAATTTACCATCCACCTCAACTAATCCTCCAGCTGAAAAAGGCAAGGAGACTGCAGCTACATTTGTGGGGTTGTGGGGTGTGGGTGTAGGTGCTGTTGGGCAGGAGGAGGGGAGACAAATCCAAAGATGGGCTCTGACTTGAGTTATACCCTTGGCAGGGCCATTAGAAATTCCCTGGCTTTGACCTCTGGCTCTGTGGCCCTGCTGTGCACTGGGGCCCCAGCTCAAATTCTAACGGTCCCTCATTTACCCTCATTAAGCTGTCAGCCTCGAGACCATGCCAGGACACAGGGCAGAGGGACAGGGCCACAAATGTCAAGGCAGCCACCTTGGCAGGTCCTGCTCACTCAGATTTCTCTGCCCACCCTACACCCCCTAACCAGACTTCTCTACCTCCTGCCATTCCCAACCCCCACCTTGAGGTAGAATAATGGCCATAGACTTTGGACATGGTACCTTCTCTGCCTCATTTTCCCCATTTGCCTTCCACCCAGGATTATGTTTAAGATGAGCTGATGGTTGGGTGGATGGGAGGATTAGCTTAAGCACAGTCTGAAAATCTGAGCACAGAGATGACATTACTGTTTGTGTTGACCATTATCCATGTTCCCCATCCCCCCTGCCCCCAAGGTTGGTGTCTCTGACCTCCAGCCTTGGTTTTGGTTCTCCACCAGCCCTGGCACTTGGGAGGGAACTGACCTGCAGCTGCTAGTGAAGACGACCCTAAGCATCTGACACTCTATAAATAACTAAGGCCCAGTGCAGCTGGAGGCAGGACTGGAAACCCAAGGAGCTGGGTGGGGGCTGGAGGGGACAGGGACAGAGCTGGGGAAGTGGGGCAGCAGTGCCAGGAGTAGATAGGAAATGCTGCCTAAACTTGTGTGACCTTGAACACGGCACTTAACTTACACGGTGCCTCAGTTTCTCCTTTCTCTCTTGCTTCCCATTTGTCCAGCAGGGACAGGAGTGCCTGCCCTGTGGTTAGAGAGCAGCACCCATAACTGGGAAGAGCTTGAGAAGCAAAAAATGGCAAATGCCTGTTCTGTGATGAGGGCCCCAGGACCTCCCAGATTCTCAAGTCATTTGTCACTCCCACTACCATGAAGAGAGTTCTCCTTTTACAGAGTCTCGTGTATCTCTAGGAGAGACCTCCAGTGTCCCCCAGAGTCATTCCTCCCAACCCCCAGTGCTGTCTCCAGAATCCTTCCACACTGAGTCATCCGGCCCTGTGCCCAGGATGGGCTCCTGTCAGTCTAGGTGGCCTTCAGCACCTGGAGGATAAGCTACAACTACTTTCTATATATGGTTCTGTTTCCCCTGCCTTATAGTGTCACACACAACCTGGCTTCTACCCACTCTGCCCCCAGTGCTGTGACCCATCCGTTCCCTCTCACTTTCTTCTTCCCCTACACAGTCCTTTCTCCTTTCCAATCTTAAATCTCAGAGTCTCTATGTTTTTATCTTTGAGGGAGAGACAAGGAATAACCTAACATTTATGGGGTGAGGACTCTGCAGGCAACACTCTCAAGTGCTTTCTGCATATAACTTTATTATTTCCCAAGCTTGGCTTATCATCAGAATCGCTTGGGAATTTAAAAAAAAAAAAAGAAAGTAGGAATTCTTACACCGACCCCGTCCGTGG